CCAGTGTAAGCCCTATTCATGTAGCAGCAAGGAGAAAAGACTATTTCTCTCCTCCTTTCCCTGTGGGTCTTTGCCATTTGGCCTTGGAAAATGTCAGTTGTTCATCTTTCTCATGTTTTGTTGGGCTGTAGAAATGGAAAAGGGCACCTCAGATACAGAGAAAAGCTGTGCCATCCCTCAGGGTGTGAATCCAGGAGCCATCACTCTTTATCAGCTAAACCGTGTGATTTTTGGTTTTTCCTCTTGGTTTTATTCACCTGCTGCTTGTACGCTGATGAGTCTGCTGTAGCAGGGCCCAGGATTTACAGWATGAGTCCCATCATGCCAAGTTCTTAAAAATAAATATCACCATTAAAAAAAATAAATGTCCCCATTTATGATCGTGGCATTCAATTACACTTTTGTTTACCCATATGCTTTCAYCTACGTCATTCAGGAAAACAAAACCCAGGGTTGTCTCAAGCAGGAAACACRAGCATATGTCACTAAGGGGAATTTTGGGGTGGGATTAATTGAAAGATGATATTTCTAGAGATTTTTATGGGTTTTTTTTTTAACCAACTGATATCAGAATGGTCTTTTCTGTACAARGTCCAGTCTGTTCATAGCACGGAAAGCAGGGGCAGCACATGTAAAAGCAATGAGCACCAGGAGCCCCAGCAAGGAACAGTCTGCAGCTGAACGTGGAGCTGGGCCCAGTGCTGACATCCCCCTGGGTTGTGCAGACAGCGATAAAACCACTTTCCCTGGAAGAAGCAGCTGAAAAATGTAATGACGCAGAGTGAAACTGATGCTAATTTGGAGGTGAAGCATGAAGAGAAGCTGTGACCGGGTTTTTATTTTTTGAAGAATCGTAGGCACACAGTCTGAAGCTGTAGCCTGTGCACTTCTCACAGGTTTCTTTAATCACTGTCTGCGGAGGAGAGCMTAATTAGTAGGTGATGCTGCGTTGGCCCTCTTAGGGGATCTGGATTAGGTCTCTGTGTTTCTCTGCTGCCTTTTCTTGTGTGCTGGGCATTAAAGGGCCTGGTAACACATCATCTGCTGCGGATGTGGTCTGTGGCCAGCTGCCCACAGCTGTGCTGCTCCATCTTCCTGTGGTCTCAGGGCACAGCCTGCCTGACCCTGCTCAGGATGGGATGGGCTCAGGAGCCCGTGTGGGTTTGMAGAGCAGTTTTTGGTTCCCTGGGCAGCTCTGTGCTGGTGTGGCCACAGGAATGGGCCAGTGTGCCATTGTGCATCCCAAATGCACCCTCAGCTTCCAACAGGGCGTGTCTGGGAGCCAGGGTTCCTTGCAGCCCGTTTGAAGMGCTGTGGTTGGAGGTTTTGTTTCAGTTCTTGTGGTGCTCAGCTGAGTGTGTCCATCTGTGCTACCTGGGACATCTCTGTCCTTCTRCTGCATGCCAGGAAAGGGGTTGTGTGATGTTGCTGTCAAACCAGAGCTAAAGATTGATGTCCCTCTGGGCTGGCTGTTGTCCCTGTGGCCATGCCCCCAGATGCCATTCCTGTGCCTGTTGCCTGGACAGAACATTTGTGGAAACACTTGAACTACTTTGGATTTGAAAATACAGAAATTCTGCTCTGACCTGACGATGAATCTTTAATTTCCCACAAAATTCCAGGTTCAAAATATGAATTATCCCCTTAGCACTCTGCTTCAAGCCTGAAGATCAGCTCAAGGCACAGAAATCTTTGAAGAGCATCTTCAAGAGTTGTCTCTGCAGGCTGTGAGATGAGGGATCTGGTTCACATCAGGTGCTGGAGGGTTGGAGTGTTGCAGGGACCAGGGCAGCTGGAAGGGGCAGGGCTGTGTTCCTGCCTGGCTCTTGCAGTGGCTGATCCCACTGGCTCTGCCCTGTGACCTGCCCACCTCCTGTCCTGCTGGGAAGTCTCATTGTGGGCACAAAATGTGGAGAAATCCTGCTGAAATCCTTTGCTTTTGTTTAAAACAAACAAAACCACAAACACCCCCCACACACACATTGCTGCATTACTGCTGCCCTCACGTGTTGCAGCATTTGTGTTCTGGATTGATTATTTATGCTGAGTGTGGCAGGCTGGCTGCTTCTGCTGGAAAGGACTCAACTGGGAGTGTGACCTTGTCTTTCCTAGCAGGTGAACCGTGTCAGGCTGTCCTTGAGCCACCCTGGGGTKTGGGAGCTGGCCAGAAGGGCTGGTCATTTGGGGCAGCTCCTCTGCAGCACAGGTCAGCACACCAAACTTCACAAGTGAGCAGAAGCCGTGCTTTTATTCACGAGGCTGTCAGCTTTCCAAGCTCTGGATTGGAGGGACAGAATAAAACAGTGAAAACTTCTTTTCTTTTCCCCTTTCTTTCTTTTCTTAATCTTATTACTTCCCAGCAGCTGTTGCCATTGTTTGTCCTAACACAGCAAAATCCCTTTGGAGCTGAATGACAGCCGAACGCACTGCAAGCACAGCAAATGGTTTTCTGCTTTGGTATCGGCAGCCTTGAACTGGAACCGGATTATTGCTGCTGCTTACAGAAGTAAAGGAAACTGCRTTTCAAGGTCAAAAATATTTCAGTGAAGTTTGGCTCCCTGGTTYAGCAGCTTGGAGAGATGGCGAGCAGTTCTGAGTAGGTGTATTCCTGTCCTGTAGTGAACAGCGACTGAGTGCCAAAAAAAAAGAGAAAAAGCCCTGTGTGGACGCATTTGGGTTTCCTGCGGCCAAGGCATGACTGAGTTCTCAATGCAGCCTTGCCTGGCTGGAGCCTATTTAAATGCAGCCTTGCTGAGCTGGAGCCTATTTTAAAATCCCGAGCAGTGGTGATGCCTGTTGCCTGGAAACCTCCTCCCAGCCTCAGGCACTTTCAGCCTAATCATAGCCATCGGCAGCCTTTATTTATTTCCCATCCAAAATGTCATCCCAGGCTTCTGGTTTGTGTTTTTGTTTGCTTGTTTTTGTTGATTATTTAAAATGAAAAGACACAAAGTGTAACCGTCAAACTCGGTGACTTTCTGTGGGAACAGCTTGCTTGGCTGTCACCGCATTGCAGTGGTGGGAACTGGCATTTTAAGCTGTGTGAAGTGGTGGCTCAGAGGGACACGGGGAAGAGGAGAAGGGGGAGCTGAGAGAATTGGCTGAGAGCCTGAGGAAGCCCCCCGAGCTCCACTGGTGCCTGCAGTGGCTCTCTGTACCTTGTGACAGCCTCTTCCTTGGGGCAAAACCAGAGCTAATCAACTGTGAGCCTTCTCCAGCACACGTGTCCCAAATTCCCCTTCCCTGTGTGGTTGTGCCATCCCCTGCCAGACCCACACTCAGCCCTGGGCTGATGGARCAGCACACTCACTGTTCAAACACCCTGTGTCCTGGGCTCTGAGCTGTGTGCTGACGGGTGAGTGGCAGAAAGTTACTGTCTTGGGGACCCTTTTTATTATTAATTCACTTAAACTCTTGGCCAGCTCAAAACCTTAATTGATGACATCAATTGCACGTGAAAACTTTAACTGATTGCTATTTCTTCAAAATTAGTGAGTGTGATCAATCCTGATCGCATGAAACAGGAAGGATCACAGGAGCCCAGCTATGATTCAATTGTGTTTCTGTCCAGGGAGTCCCCTGGGAGAGCACGGGGCTAAAATCATCTGAAAACGGGTGAAAATGCTAATAAGGACAGCCAGAAGCTTTGCATGTGAGGCATAGGAGCAGCTTCAGCTGTTCACAAGTTGTTCTTGTGATTTGAATGGTTTATTTTACAAGGCTRAGAATATTTGTTCTACCAAAGGCAGAGCTAAAGGAGGCTTAGACTCAAGATGCAGTTGAACAAAGGTTTGTGTTTTGCTTAGCAATCTTCCTGCAGGCACAGAGCAATGCGCAAGGCTTATCACGTCATTTATTTTCCTCTTGACTTAATTTGAGCTTGACAGGCAGCTTAGGCTGTTCTCAGGGATGCTCTTGTCTCTCAGTCTTAGTGCTGGGACATTAAGTTCCAATTGTCAGGAACAGACAGAAGAAGCACTCCCAGGCCAAGGGCAAGCACTTTTTCCATTCCCATRTTCTCTATGTGCTGGCAATTAAGAAAAACAATCAATTGCCAAAGAAATGGTGAGGGTGAATGAATCATGGAGTGGAGTCCTTGGTTTGCCATGGGTGGGTAAGAGTGCCTGAGAGGCTGCAGATGTGATCTGCTCCCTGGGTTCAGAAATCATGGCTTAGTTGTACAGAGACGTCTGAATCTGTTGGAAWCCCAAACTTTCCTGGGTTTAACCACTGGAAATGGAAATTATTCTTTGGTCGGCTCCTCTTTGCTGGACTTTGCAGCTGCTCAGCCCTGCCTTTCTGTACAGCAGAGGTTACAGAGCTGCTCTCTCCTCGGATTTTGCTGTCTTGGTTCCTAAGCAAAGCTTCCACAGGTGATCAGCTTCTCTGGGGGAGGGAGCAGACAGAAGGGAGAGCAAAGTGCACACGGGGGAGGCAGGAACAGGAACAGCAGAGGAACGATGGAAAGCTCTGTGGTCACAGATGGTAAAGCAAGAGGGTTCCTCGCCCTGCCTGCGCCTCCAGCACCCCCGACATTGAGTGAACAAACCGCGCTGCTCGTGGCAATAGCAAAGGGGGAAAGACAAGCACTCAGGCAAAAACAGAGTCTGTCATGCTGAATTCACTGCTGGAGGGTTTAAGAAAATAAAATAAAAAGTCAAGGAGAAATGAGTGCTAAAACACACACAGTGGTGGGTTCTCTTCGCTGATCTCTCCCAGCTGCGTGTGGTTGAAGCTCACACTAGTGTTTTCTTTTCTTTGGAGCCTGGTTGCTTAGTTCTCCCAATTCCCCACTGAGATCAGTATTTCAGACCCTCTTTCCTGTTGTTGGTGGCTGTTGGGGGGTTTGTGCTGTTGTCTGCCAAAACACCAGCTCTGGAGGGCCCTGCTGGGGTTGGAGTGGTGGCTCTGCAGTGCCTGGGAGGGTGGGTGATCCTGCTCTCACAGTCTGGTTTGCCACCTCAGTGCAGTTTGCTAATCTGGCTTTTTCTCCCTGCCAGAATGAAGAGAAGAGGAACCTTTCGCTGGGGGGCCATGTGGGCTTTGACAGCCTCCCTGATCAGCTGGTCAGCAAGTCTGTCACACAAGGCTTCAGCTTCAACATCCTCTGTGTGGGTGAGCAAACCCATGGGGGGAGCTTGGGACCGGCTCTTCTTGAGTGTCCTGCTGTGCCATGAGCCTTGGCAGCGACAAAAGCATGTCAGAAATGCCAAACTCTCTTAAAAAACACATTGAGTCAAACCAGGAGAATTTCTGTAATCAGTGAGGCATTGCTCATCACCTCTGCTGCAATAGCTTTGCCATAGGAAGGATTAAGGGAATGCTGTATTTGGCAAGTTAAATATTTCCATTTGCAAACTGGGCTGGCTGGCACMAGCAGGTTTTGCTGGGTTTGGTGTTGATGTAGCTGCAGTCAGATGCACCATGGGTTATCTGAGAGCTGCTGGTGGTAATTTGGCCAAATCTGGGCACAAGAGGTGTGTGCCTGAGCTGTGCCTCTTCAGTGCTTTCCCAGGTGTGAGAGGTCTTGAAGCATGGTCATGTCTGCCCTTGGAAAGGGAGGGGGAGTGTTCCTTATTGACTTTAAAATAACCTTATTTTATTCTTGGCTTTTAATTTTGGTATTGATGTGACCTAGCAGRCAATGCTGCCTGGAGTACTAGAGACCAGTTCCTTCCAGTGATGAGATGAGCATCATTTTTGTTTTTGCTAGTTACTGTATGGTGTATAAAATCTGAAGTGTTGTAACCTGCTAGAYCAGCAGAAATAGATCCAGAGACAGCAGCTCCTTTGGCTTGGTATAGACTGCACTGGCACCCTGACAGCTTACACAACGTGCYTGTGCCATACCCAAGCTGCTCTTGCATATCCACCCTACAAGTAAGAAGCGTGGCTGAAATCACAGCTGAAATTCAGACTTGTTCTGTAGCAGAAGGGTAATTGCAGCAGAGGTCAATATGTTTTTCATTAGTGTCATTCATGGGGGCACTAGAATGGATATTCCTACAATCTCATTTAGCTCTTTTTTTTTTTTTTTGGACAAGAGAGGAAAAGCCCCACCCTGTTTGCCAGTTCCTGCTTCCTACAGTGCCCATAATTGAACAGGAGAATGTAGGGTGCATAGGAAGTGAGTTCTCCATATGTCTCCTTTCAGACTAAGCTAGAGCACCAGCTGGCTTTATCTCCTTGCACAACTCTTAGCCACAGCTGGCAGGAAGCACTGTGTGCCTGTGCCCCGCTCTGAGGTGTTTATTCTCCTGTGAAGAGCAGAGCCTGTGGTGCTGGGAGAARGAGAAAGTCCAAAGCCCTTGGCAGCAGGCACAGAACCTCCCTGGAGCAGAACCTTCCTGCTCTCCCACCAGCATCTGCTGGAGGGCTCCTCAGCAGTGGCTGTCTGCTGAACTGGTACAGGATGGACTGCCTGGAAAATGAGCAGAGAGTAGAAGGTTATCTCCTTGGATTTTGTCTCTGTTTACCTTCATGACCCGTAGGGCTGGATGTAGTGAAAAAGGAGCTCAAATAGGGCCCCTTCTAGGCCAATCTGGAAATTATCAGTCTTGTTTCATCTCCAGGAATAGCAGTTCAAAGCCTTTCTGGCTCACAAAYAGCTTGTTAGCCAAATATTCTGGGATAGATCTTTTTGTGATGCATCCCAGGTGTCCTTCAGTGGCTGCTAAAATTGTCYTTTCCACAGCTTCTCGTGTGCAGAATCCCAAGCAAAGTCAGGGGTCATGGAAAGGAGAAGAGTGTGTTTTGCTGTGCCCTGTGACTCTGAGAGACAAGACCCAAGTGCTCTGCGTTGTTTACATTAAGCATGGGAGGCCTTTTCGAAGGCAGCCACCTGTGTGCCACCTGTGTGACAATCACACGTCTGCCCACAACCTCCACGCTCTATTTTAGTTCTCCTCTCTAATTAACGCGCTTTGAAGTGGCTGTGGCCAATCCATCATGGTTTGCCCTCCCTAGGTGAGACTGGCATTGGGAAATCCACGCTGATGAACACCCTGTTCAACACCACCTTCGAGACRGAGGAAGCCAGTCACTACGAGAGCGCGGTGCGCCTGCGGCCACGCACCTACGACCTGCAGGAGAGCAACGTCCACCTCAAGCTGACCATTGTGGACGCCGTGGGATTTGGGGATCAGATCAATAAAGACGAAAGGCAGGTCTCGTGCCATCTGCTCGGCGTTGCTGTGCTTGCACATCAGCTGCCCGCAGCTCCCCTGCGGCGCTGTGCGAGGCTCCGTGTCCCTGCTAAAGGAGTCGCTCCCTGGAGGGGCCCTGGGGACAAAGGGTAGAGGGAAATGGGTGAACAGCCAAAAAGAGAGCTCATGAGAGGTCTTTCCAGCAGAGAATGCTGTCCTCCAGGAGCGTGAGCTGTTAACCAGCTGTCCTCAGAGCAGGGTCAGGAATTGTCTGTTCTGGCAGCAATGGGTGTTTCTGCACTTGTCTCGTTTAATTACACAGACATCTTGTTCAAGCCCCAGGTAAAGGCTTTCTGGGACTCCAAGGTGTCTCCTTGGTCATGTTGCATTGCTGCAGACAGATGGCTCAGCCCTGAAATCTGGGCAAACTTTGATCTGGGGAAGTAGTCATCTTTCCATGCTCCACTGTCCTTAGACTTTGCAGTGCAGCCTCAAGAATCTCCAGCAAYCTTTGGATTATAAGGTCTGTGTGTGAACACCACACTTTTCCCGTTGTMAGGCTAAATTGTTTGAGTCTTATAACTTGTTTATAAGTGATATCATGGAATGTCTAGGAGAACTCCTTCAGCCTTTAAACTGTTTAGCTTTGCACTCCAGTGGCTGGTTTGCTAATGGGCTGGTTTTAGTTACAGGCCAATCGTAGAGTACATTGATACGCAGTTTGAAAACTATTTGCAAGAAGAGCTGAAGATCCGCCGGTCCCTCTTCAACTACCATGACACCAGGATTCACGTCTGCCTCTACTTCATCACCCCCACCGGGCACTCGCTCAAATCCTTGGACCTGGTGACAATGAAGAAGCTGGATAGCAAGGTAAGGCATCCCTCTTTCTGGAATGCTTGTGTTGGTGCTGATTGTCATGTGGAAGGTTCTGCTCCTTCTCTGCGAGTGCTGGCCTCCTTCCTGCATGGCAGCTGAGCCATTTGTGGGACTCTGGTAAAGCTTTGTGTGGCCTGGTGGTTGCTGAGGTCCCCTGCTTGTTTTCTCACTGACTTTCCTGAAGAATGTCAGGAAAAACCTGTTTTCCAGTTGGTTGTGTAAATTCCAGAGTGTCCCTCTACTGTAAGACTCTTACCCAGATTGGCTGATATTTATCAAAGCCATCAGCTGCAGCTCTGCTGGGTGTGCAGGTGGGGATGCCTTCCAGCTCCAGTTGAACTGTGGAAACCCTGCAGGCCCAGGGACAGAGGGAGCCAGCAGAGCTGTCAGTGTCCTGAGGTGGTGGTGGGTGCTGAGGAGACAGGGGCTGAGGAGAAGTGTGTGCTGTGTGTGCTGGTGCGTGAGGAGTGAGTGAGCTGTCACTGCAGGCAGTGCCAGCTGAGCTGGACAGCACATCACAGTACCTTAAAGTGTGGATACAATGAGGAATTCTCAGGGTTGTTGGAATCCTGCAGGTGGGTCAGGACAGGGTCTGGCTGGGGTTGTTTCTTTGTGCTTAAGCTGTTCTGCCTCACGGGCAGGGGTTATCTAACTAGCTACTCACTGATATTCCTGCAGCTCGCAGCAAGTTCCTGGCATACTTTTGGGTATTCCAGCTGGCTTCCAGGGACCTGCAGGAGGCTTCAAAGGTCACTAGTGGCAGCAGCATCTCTTCTTTTCGTCTCAATAATTCCCTGTCTTTGAGAGCAGTGTTTTAGCAGCAAAGGGGTTCCCTTCAGGTGGCAGGTGTGACCCTGCAGGTCCTGGGGATCCCCTGGATTGCCCTGAGGGAGCCCTCTCTGCTCAGGTTGTTCACGTGCAGCTCTGTTGGATTTTCCTGGCAGGTTGGATTCCCCCTGTGTCTCTGCTGCTTGCCCTCGCTGCCCAGGGCTCATGGCCTGCTTTTCCTTGGCCCCAGTCCAGAGCAGGCACTGGCTTCCCAGTGCAGTGGGCTGTTTGTAACTGTAGTGGCTGTTGCACTGACTTCATCAGGAATCCAAAAACTTTCCCTTAATAAAATSTTGTCTCTTGGTGCAGTGCCAGCATTACATATCCCCAGAAATATTTTTGGAGGAAAGCTTTTGCACGATTCCCCTTGGTGCTGGTGGTCCCACAAAGCATTTCTCTTCCTTTGCCTCTTATTCCCTACTTTTCACATCTCCCTGTGGCTGCCTTTAATGTGGTCCTTGGGTAGTACCAAAATAAATCCTTTGTACTTGTGCAAGAGATGAAAACTTTGTGCACAGGCAAGCTTTTTATATTTCTAAACTACCACTTAAATAGTCCTCTCTGGAGTCATTTTATCCCTTTGCTCTCATCCCCCTTCTTGCCTCAGCATGAGAGCATCCTGGATTTCCTGCTGTGGTGTCCTCACACAAGGGGCACATGGARATGAATAAGCAAGTGGAGCCCATTGATATTTTCTGGGCATCAGGGGTTTACGTTGCATTTGTGCCCTGGTGTCATCCCAGGACATGGGGGTGYTTTCCAGACACTCCCTGAGGGTTTGTCAGGGCACTGCTGTGCCCCTTTCCCAGCACACATCAGCTCAGGCACTTGTGCCCTGTCCAGAGGGAGCAGTGAGTGGGCACTGAGCAGAGGTGACATKCCCTGGCTCACATCTGCTGCTGTGTGAGCACAGCTGAACCTGCCCCTGCTCCTGTAGTGTGGATGGTGGCCCTGTTTTATGTCTGAGGAGTGGAGCCTGTRCACATGGAAGGTGCATCAGAGGAAATGCTTTGCTGTGCTCTGCTGCTCAGCAAAGCAGAGCAGGGACTGGTTTAACTGGGAGTTTGCAGGACCCTGGCTTGGTTCCACCTTTGCTTTAGCCCACCAGTGGTGTGGTGTGTGGTGCTGGGCAGACTTTGGAATCTCTGTGACAATTTCAATAACCAGTCTTGCTTTCAGTGTAAAGTTTATGAAATCCCTTGTGGGTAAAGCTGTTTTGTAAACAAAATCTTCCATTGTGYTGTAAGACAATATCTGTTTGGCTGAGCTCATGGCCAGCTGTTGTCTGGGGTGTTTAGTTACAGCCAGAGAGCAAAAGCATCTCCAGAAGTGGTTTTAGGTAGGTGGAACTGGGCTGGCTGCTGSTGGGAAGCACATAAGGCCTGACAGGTGCTGGCTTTCCATTTGGTTTAACGTGGGAAAAGGAGGAGATGAATTAAAGTGCATTTGCATCAGATGAGAAGGTGATTTATTGGTGTAAGACCCAGCCCTGTCCCACACAGTGTGTGCTGCCATGAGCACCCTGGGGCTGCCTGCTTTGCCCCTGGGTGGTTTTCAGCCAGCCTGAGCTGTGTGAGCTGTGCCTGATTGCCTGCCCTCCGTGAGCTCACACATCTCAGGCACATGTGTGGGGATGCTTCAGGCAGCCTGTGCCCCTGCCCTTTGGTTTCCAGGGCAGGATTTGCCTGTTGGCTTCACTGCAGCTTGCATTCAGGAGCAGTTTGGAGATGGGGAAGAATCCAGCTGTATTTCACAGGATGCAAGTGCCTGCAGTCTTATTGCATCAGCAAAATTATTTTCTACCAAATTACAAGTTCTTGTGGTTTTATTTTTGGAGCTGAGAAGCAGTTCTGGTCAGAAGGGCTTGAGAAGGAGGTGCATTTTGTGTGTGTGCTTGGGAGTTCCCTGTCCTGTCAGAAGCACAGATTTTCTCTGGTCATAATTCCAGCTCCAGCAAATCCCTCAGCACATGGACTGATGGGCAAGGGGACACTGCACCCCTGTCACATTCAGTGCAGTGACATGGCAGTAGTCAATTGCATAATTTTGTTACTAGATCTTTAAATAGARAATATTGCTCCTCCACCATGAGATACAAGAACGTTGTTCTGGGATTTTGCCTTCAAGGTCAACATTATTTATGTAAAAATTGTGGAGAGAGAGCCCTCATGTTAGTTCTGGTGTTGTTTCCTCTTACTGGGGTTTTAAAACCTGTTTAGGAGAAAAGGAGGGGTGACTTTTCTTCTCTGGCTAGTTAGATATCAGTTTATTTGGCATTAATCTCTTGTGGCAGCTCCTTTGCATGGGCTGGGTGTGTGGAAGGTGCTGTGGGGAGGCAGGATTAGGCTTGCAGTTCAGTATCATCTCATATCTCGTTGGTTTCTTGTTTCCAAACGACTCCGTCCTTTCTCTGCATTGCAAAGGGRTGAACCCATTCTGGATTTAGGACTGCACCCAAATGCCATATCCAGACACCCCCAGTATTGATGTGGCTAWTGATTATTGGAAACACAACTTGTAAAACCCTTTTGGGTTGTGAATTCTGTGCCAGCAGATGTTGACTGAGTTACCTTTTCAAAATACAAGAAGTCTGGTTGAGGGCACCAGAACCAGCCTTGGTTTGCATCTTTTTTGAGTGTGGCTGCAGTGGTGACCACAGAGCCTGCTCTGCTGCTGGAAAGCCTCACCAGACTCCAGGCTCTGCTCCTCCTGCCTTGCTGTAAGCTGGGCTGAGCTGGTGCCCCTTGGAAAAAGAAGGGGAAATTGCTGGGGCTGATTGAAAGGGGATGTGAGCCCTGAGTTGACTGTTTTTCTTTAGGAGATGGTGGATCCGAGCCTCTTCAGCTCTTAGCAGGTCAGGGAGGCACCCAGCTGTGGCCAKGGCCCTTTTACCTTTGTAATGAGGCCATGGACCTGCTGAGCGGTGGAGTGAGCAGCAGGCCTGCTTCTGTGAGGGGTTATGGTCCTTGGTAAAAGAGGTCAGGTCAGTGGCTGAGAAAAACAGGACTTTATTCTCTCAGATACATTTGCAGTGAGCAAATTTGGACCTTTTCATGTGGAGTGAGTAAATGCTCTTGTGTTTAGTGAGTGCTAAACCACTAAACAGACAGGGGAGGGGGAGCAGTGATGCACGGGGAACACAGGAAGTGTGGAAAAAACACTGAGCTGCAAAGAGCTTTAATGGRCACCCATTGGAGACTGACTGGTGCTGGATTTCAGCTCTGTAGGACAAAAAGCATTGGCTGTTGGGAAATGCTAGATGGCAAATCAGGCTTTCCCCTTATTTGTCTAAATTCTTGTGTTTTGCTGCCATGAATTTGGCTGCTGTTCAGGCAGACGAGTTGTGCTGTTTGTTTAAGCTGTGGTTTGCAGTATCACACTTGGCTTTTCTGGGTACAGCAGCTTTATCTAACAGAGGTTCCTGTGACAGATCTGGCCCTGCTGCAGCTCTCTCAAGCACAAGGCCATAGTGAGCCCCATCCTTTTTAATGGATGTGGGATGTGGCCCTTTACTTTTGATCTTGATGGGTGCTGTGCATGGGGAGACCTCCCCACTGTGCAGCCTGTGGGTGGCTTTAAAGCCTGGCTGGATGAAGCTGTGTGGGCATGGTGCCTGCTGGCTGATGTGAAACCAGAGAAGAACAGCACAAACACCAATTTTCTATCTGCTCTGTGGCACCCTACACCTTTCCCAGGGGCTCCATGTAATCCACACAGCGCACCCAAGRTGTGATCCTCACCAAGAGGATCCTTGGAGAGGATCAGCAGCTCCTGTCAGAGCATCTGAGGAGTCCCTGCTCTTTCTGCTTGAGCACAGGAAGGCTTCACATCAGCTCGGTGCAGCGTTTCATCCTTGTGCTTGTCTTGTAAAACATCCTGTCAGCGCAGCCGGGGTGGCTGGGTGACAGCTCGGATGTGACAGCTGYGCTGTGCCTCCCTGGACGCGTGTGACAAAACACCCTGCTCTCATCGGGAGCCTTGTGGCCAAACCAGTCCTGGAAAACTCTTCCCTCTAGTGTTCAGCTGGGCTGGGCTGCAGCTCCCGTGTGAACGGAGCTCCGAGGTGATTTTGGATGTGAAACGGTGGGGTGGGGCAGGACCTGTGACATTGCTTCTGCCCCACTGCTGCTTCTGTCCCACTGCTGCTTCTGTCCCACTGCTGCTGCCCCACTGCTGCTCACCGGGGCTTTGTCCTTCCCTCTAGGTGAACATCATCCCGATCATTGCCAAAGCAGACACCATCTCCAAGAGCGAGCTGCACAAGTTCAAGATCAAGATCATGAGCGAGCTGGTCAGCAATGGAGTGCAGATCTATCAGTTCCCCACGGACGACGAGGCAGTGGCTGAGATCAACTCTGTGATGAATGTGGGTAACACTGCCAGTTCCATCGCTGCCAAAAGCTGTGACAAATTAAATTGCTGCACAAAAATGCATTTGAAGGGCAAGTTTCGTTGGGAATGGCCAGACACTGAATCTGTGGGTCTCGCGGATGCCAAAGGCTGTTGCGGACAGAATTAATTAAAATGTGGCTCATGGTTAATCTGGGGGTTCTCTGGAGAAACTTAGCTCTAGAATTTGTTTCATTGAATTTTTGAAAAACACTTTTTTCAAAATTAGTTCTGTCTGTTTTAGGCTACTTTACATTTTGAGGAAGAACTTTGAATAAAAATGTGACAGTTAAGATTTACATTATCCTTGTGACTTAAGGAGGCTGACCAGAGAAAACCCAATTTAAAGTAAAGAAGAAAAATTGTTAATCTCTATTTTGTCTTTTTTGAAATTCRAAGATCAAAATCAGACGTGGCTGAAGCACACACAAAAACCCTTTCAAGCTTGCAGTCTTCCAAATCAAAGGGCAGCTATGGCAGTAGAAATAACTGTAATGTTTCTGTGTTAATTTTTTTAATCAAAAGTAGCTTTTCCATCAAAASGAACGTTTTCCTGCATAGCTGTTTCTGATTAAATKCTTTGTCTTTTCTTTCACCCTTTAYCCASTCTTTTTATTTTCAATTCAGTCATCATTTGATTTCTGGGTTGACTGGATATGTGTTTTCACTGTAATAGTTCTTTATTGCTGAAATCATGAAAAACTTGGAGKATTCACTCTTACTTAAATAATTGCAAGCTGTGTGTATTGAGGAGAAAAACAGGAATCACGCTTGCTTGGCTTCTCTTTTTTTCCTCCCCTCCTACAACAAAAACRTATTTGGCCTCTTCTCTGTGAGTTCCACACTCCTGGATCCATTTCCTTTTAAACGTGAAGGATTTTGTCAGCCTCACCCTTCTGGAGCACCCACTCCATGGCTCCTTTCCTGCCATCCTGAGGAGGGTGTCCTGTTTCCTCGGGGAGAGCAGCGAGCACATGTCCTGCACGTGTCCCCTGCAGTGTCCCCACACTCACTGCTGTGCCAGGGTCCCTTTGTGGCTGTCCCTGTATTTTCAGCGAGTCAGGGAGTGCCCTGCYCCTGGTGTGTGCCAGAGCAGCCTGGCAAAGGGTTGGAGGACAATGGGAATGGCTGGTGGCCCTGCAATATTCCCAGCTGGTGCAGCCCAGCCAGCGTTGCTGTGCCTGACACCCCTCCCTGCAGTGATATCCCAGCTCATGGCAGGGATTGCTCTGAATCAGAGATTGGTAGGTTCAGAGGGGGAATTCATGGGAACAAACCCTGTGCCTGGGTGAGGGGGATCTGAGGGTCAGGCTGGTCTCTGAGGGTTCCCCCATGCACTGAGTCCCTGCCCCTGGCTGTGTTTCAGGCTCATCTGCCCTTCGCCGTGGTCGGCAGCACGGAGGAGGTGAAGGTTGGGAACAAGCTGGTGCGAGCTCGGCAGTACCCGTGGGGAGTGGTGCAAGGTGAGGAGGGGCTGTGAGCCCACCCCGAGCTCTCTGTGTGTGCTCAGGCACAGCCTGGCCCCTCTCCAGCTCTGCCCTCCACCAGCACCAGGCATGAAGGTGCTGTGATAAACGAGGCAGTTTTTCCTTTGCATTCGCAATCCCTGCATCCCGGGGGTGGTGKTGTGCCCCGAGCAGGACAGCAGGCTCCTCAGGATGGGAGTGTCTGCAGTCAGTCATCTGTGCCCTYGTGCTCCCCCAGCACATCTGCAGTTTGCTGACCTGTCCCTTCCCTTCCATCAGTGGAGAATGAAAGTCACTGTGACTTTGTGAAGCTGCGGGAGATGCTGATCCGGGTGAACATGGAGGATCTGCGGGAGCAGACCCACACCCGCCACTACGAGCTCTACCGGAGGTGCAAGCTGGAGGAGATGGGCTTCAAGGACACGGATCCGGACAGCCAGCCCTTCAGGTGAGTGGCCTTCACATCTGGCATCAGTTTGGAGTGAGAGTTTGGTCCTGACAATCCAAAAAATGGGAGATTTGTAGGTGAAATCCGCAGTGCTGGGCTGGAAAGCACCAGCTCTGGGTTTGAACTTTGCAGCTGACTTGGATGTTCCCTCCCCTGCCTGTTTGTCTTTAAACAGCACAGACAGGCATGCATTTCCCCATCCCTAGCTCATCGGTGTCCAGAGAGTCTGGATTTCATTTGCTTTCTTCCCCAGCCTCCAAGAAACATACGAGACCAAAAGGAAAGAGTTCTTGGGTGAGCTCCAGAGGAAAGAGGAAGAAATGAGACAAATGTTTGTTAACAAAGTCAAGGAGACAGAGGCAGAGCTGAAGGAGAAGGAGAGAGAGGTGGGTGTGCCAAAAACCTGTGAGGAACCCAAAATACAGCCAGCAGGGAGTCTGGGTCTGGGCAGGGCAYGAGTCCTGGAAAGCACATGCAGCTGTTGAGCAGAGCTCACCAGCCAAGGCACAGACACATCACKGCTTTAGGTGCCTCAGAAACCAGTCTGCCCTGTCCTGTGCCACGTGGAAATTTGGCTGCTGGAAGGCAGTGGCAGGTTTGGATGAGCACCCATGCCAGGGGCATTTCCCTCCTGAGGCTCACGGGCAGCAGAGCAAAGGGGGCARCTGGGCTGGAGTCCCCAGTGTGAGCCCCTGGGCAGCAGCTGTGACTGGGGAGGAATCAAATGGACCATCCTCAGGACCACTGAGGAACAGAGGATCCCATGGTGTCCCCAGTCCCCGTGCAGGGCTGCAGGCTGAGCCCAAATCCCCTGTGCTTATCTCCAGGGCCCCCACTGCCTCCTGGTTTGCTACATGAGGTCAGGCATGATTTTATTGCMTCTTCCCTGCTCCTGGTGGGCTCTGGGTGCTGTACCCTGCAGATGGGTCCCTGGGGTTGGGATTTGTGGGAGGTGTGATGGGGCTCCTGGGACAGGGCCAGCACAGCACTAAGGTCACTCTGAACGCTGTACTCAGAGCATCTGTCTCCTACCAGCTGCACGAGAAGTTTGAGCACTTAAAAAGGATACACCAGGAAGAGAAAAGGAAGGTGGAGGAGAAGAGGAAGGAGCTGGAGGAYGAGATGAACGCCTTCAACAGGCGGAAAGTCGCAGTGGAAACCTTGCAGTCCCAATCCTTGCAGGCTACCTCACAGCAGGCGCTGAAGAAGGACAAAGACAAGAAAAAGTAAGTGYCTGAACTGGAGCCTTCCCCCTCTGCTGCTGCAAAGCTGGGAGTCTGCTCAGATGCTTTAGTGCTTGGTCAGTTGCTTAGATAGCACAGAGAAAAGGGGATTTTGGAATCCTARTTCCCCTCCTTCTGGTTCTTTGCTTAAAGCAGAGGAGAGATGGGCCCCTCCTGTGCTTGAGAGAAGCCTGGGCAGCTGCAGGTGGGAGGGATTTGCAACTTGGGGCCATTCTCTAAAGGCTGATGGTCCCACGGGATCACTCTCTCTGACAGCCAAATCAGGTTGTGAAATGGGGCTCCAAGGCACAGTTCTGATTACAACAAAATTCTTTTCCCCTAAAGGCAGAGTTCTTATCTTAGCTTGCTGCACATTAATTGACATTGCTGAAGCCAGCAGGAGCAAGGGTATGTAAATATTGCTTTTCCAGCCACCTGATTGTGTAATGATAGACCAGCAATGGGACAAACAGGTTGAAAAAGAAAAGATGTTGGGAGGGGTTATCCTGCTTCCAGTTCAAGCCAGTCTGCAAGGAACACTGGCTGGGGAGCAAAATGAGGAGCACTGTCATGCAAACTGGTAATTCTGCTATTCAGCTTTTTTTTTTTTACTTCCCCTTGCGTGAAGGAGCTCAAGAGTCTGAACTGCATTCTGTCAAGCCCAGAGCAGGCTGGTGGCAAGGCTTTCTGAGCCTCTTAATGATGGCAAGGAAAAAAAAAGACCCTGGAGAGTAGCAACACCCGAGTTTGTGCTTGACAGCACAGCATTCAGCTTCACACTGCTGATGAGATCTTGTGGTCTGTCATTTCCCTGCTGTGAGCTGCAGCACCAGAGGAGCTCACTGTGTACTGACATCCTGGCAATTTGTTTCTTCCTGTGGAAGATAACAGGGTAGATTATTTAAGTATTTCCTTGGAATGTGAATGTGTTGGTGCTAAAACCAAAGCTCTGTCTTGTGCAGACTGCTCAAAACACTCTGGGCATGGCCCACCCTGCACACAGAGCCCAAAGGGTTTGTAAAATACTTWGCTGAAAATGGGATTAAATCTGAATTGGGGGCTGACTACTAGAGCATTCTGAAGCCCAGGACTGCTTGGGTAAGGTGAGCACAAGGGTAGCTTGTGCAAGGGTGCAGTGGAARCTATTTAAGCAAGCATCTTTACTTTTACTCTTTAACCTTAAAGCTGATGTGTGCCTAAGAAGGCACATAATAAATGCCATCCTGGAGCAKGGGTAGGCTGTGAGGGGTGGCCAGGAAAGGCTGCAGTTTCTCCCCCTCTGGTCATCCTGGCTGTGACAGAAATGGTTTTCCTGCCCTTTGCTGGGTTCAGCACACCTGCAGATGTGAGTCTGGGCCCTTCCTCTTCTGGGTGGTGCCACACACCAGGCATGGTCAGGAGCAGGGCAGGGAGGCAGCTCGGTGCTGTGGGAAGGTGCAAGGGGCACCCACAGCCTGTGCTCTGCACAGTGGGAACCCTGCACGGTGCTGGGGCAGGGGGCTCTAGCTCTGGAGCACAGCYAGAGGAGCTGCACCATCACCAGGATGGTTTTGGATTGGGTTTTTTTTTGTTGGGTTCTTCTTTTCAAACCTGTGAGCTACTTCAAAATACAGGGTTTTGGGATTTCTGCACAAGTGAAGTTTTTAGAAGAGCTAGTTGAACCCTTTATCATTTCCTGGTTCAAGACAGTGCTCTTAGTAGCTTTAATAAGAAAAAGAAAATGGTAATGGAAGAGCTGCAGAAGTTGGGGGCAAGAGAAGTGTTAGTGGTGCTGGGCTGCTCTCACCTGAAGCCTTCAGCTGCCCCAGCAGTGTTCGTCCTCCTCCTCCTCCTTTTTTTGCTTTAACATATTTCGCTTTTGTTTGATTTTCATAACTTTAATTCATGCTTTTTTTATGTTTTGTTTCTTTCAGTTAATCACACACAGACTTTCAGGCCAAGAGTGGACTTGGTGCTTTCATGTGTTAAGTTGCTTGAGTTTCCCACCCCGTGACCCTTCTCATAACATTGTGTGAGTGGACCAAAGTGAAAGAGAAAATGAGCATCTCCGGTGGTTGCAGTGTTCCAACCCGCTGTTTTCTGTTCAGAATTATCAGGAGGTTTGCAGGAAGTAACCTTATGTGTACATTGTGCTAAACAAAGCCAACTAATCCCTCAAGTAAGATGTTTTGTTCTAAACCCAGTGATGGAGCAGCCGTGTATAAAGTGACCATAACAGAATTCATCTTACCAGCTAAATAATTGCTTTCTACTTTTTTTTTTTATTTAATTGGCTAAGTGGACTGCTGGAGGCTCATCGACCTTCCCCTGTACATGCACAGTGAGAGGAGTGGTCTGAGGAATGCTTAAATGTTTATTTTTCTAACAGAATTCTCAAATAAGTTTTTAGTATGGGTAGAAAAACACAACACTTAAGCTTTCTGCAGGAATCTTAGTCAGAGTAACCCTCGTTCTAGTAATTCTATATATAATCCTGAATTACTCTAAACACTTTCTACATCATTTATAATATATATATATGAGGAGAGAGAGAGASTGGTTAATAAAATTCATGGGACAATGTTTTGAATTTTCTTTACTGCTAAAGTAGAACATTTATAGAGAGGTTTTTCATAAAAGTTTGTTGTATAAAGTGGAACTACAGGATTTGTGTAACATTTCAGTTGTCACTTACCAATGTATTTACTGTCATGGAAACTATTTAAGCCAACATCTTTACTTTTACTCTTTAACCTTAAACCTAATACGTGCCTAATAAGGAGAATCCCCTGCTCTTGAGCTGTGCACTGTATTTATGCTGGCAGGCTCTGTTCCTCTTAGAAGGTGCTTCTTTTGATACTCCTCATGCCTAGAAATCACAGCCTTGTTTTCCTGGGCAACTGAGCTTACAGGACTGATTAGGATCAATATTAATTTTTTCCACTCAAACCATTTTGTGAATAGGCAGGGCAATAACTGAACAGAGAGTTACTAGCTATGTTGTCATGGAAAAATAGCTGGACCCAATTCCATCCATCCATCTGATCCTAGGCTAAATGAAAGGAAATRTTTTATATTAACCCTCACATAGTGTCTTTAGAGTTTATAAAAACACTGGCTGGCTAAGTGTTAGTTGTGAGTGTGTTTTTATTTAGTTATTAATGTTACAGGATTTTTCTGATACAGTTTTTGTTAAAGACATGTCTTTAAGCTGTCAGCAAATTCCTGATGTGCCGTGCAGAGGGAGATGCAGGGCCTGGCTCTGAGCTGTCACAGGGCTGTTGCAGCATTTTGCTGGATTCTGAGGTTCTTCAACTCTCATATCCCATTAAAGCAGCTTTTTTTTTGTCCTCCCCCCTTTCGAAATACATGCTCAGGTGTTAAACTGTGTTTTCCTATGGACATTGGCCTTTTCTGTGGATATACTGACAGTGTTACTTGATGCCTGTAGGAAAGAACCTCACAAAGATCTCACCGGTACCTTTTAGAACAGGCTTTTGTTGAAAGAATAAAAATTCTGCACTTGTTRGGAGTCTGCTGAAAGCTGGACATTTAATTTTTAAGGCTGTGCCTCCAGGTCAAATGTATTTTAAAGAGTAACTGTCACATATTAGGAGGGTTAGTGTGGTTTTCTCAGACAAAGAACCAACCTTCTGTTACATGCAAGAAGACAATTCCACCTCGCCTCTGACTACAGACCAATCACGTAGCCAATTATTTGGTATTCATTTTTTGCTAATGGGAGAAACTGTGGTGCACTAATTGCCTGAGMAAGCAACACTCTTTGGTTCATTGTTTTGCTTCTCAAGGCCAAYGCTGGGATAAAACAGTAACTGGTGGTACTGGTGTGCACCCAGCTGCCTCGCCAGTGTGTTCCCAATCAATAGTTCTCTCCTGATCTCATGCTGCAGCCAGCAAGATCTATGCAAATGATTTCTCTCTGCCCTGGCTCATCAGAGATCAATTCTTTTTTCCTAGAATAACAGGTAGTTAAGAAAAATTATTATAACAAAGAGTAAAAAAATCTTCAAATCCATGGGCATTGTGGAGAAATTCACAGCTTTTTCTGAAGAAGACATTCAGAATGTATGTAACAATATTTTAATGATGATGATTATTATTATATTCCTTTGACTTTATGTTGTGACAGACATCCCTTGTCCTTGTAGTTGCTTGTTCAACATCATAATCTCCCCGAGGGCATTCAGTCGTATTTTTTTCCCCAGTATTTGTTTTTCCTTTTGGCTGAGACAAGATTTAAGTATTGTGGTATATAGGGTAGCTCTGTATCTTATTTTTATTTAACAAATTACAAATACRTGGTGATGCTAATCTCACCCAGTCTGAGGACTTAAATCTTGTAGGCTAGAAAAAGTGAAAGAAAAACCCTCAGAAATGACTGAAACCATTCAGTTACACATCTTTCAGCTGTTTTATACATTTATCTGTAAAAGATCTGTATTAATGGGAAACACTATCCATTTTTTTTTATCATTTAAACACTTACCATCATGTATGTTGTCTGCTTYCTAATTTAAATTGTGTTTTGTGGGTCTCTTGTGGGGGTCATGCCTGGCTGTGGTGGGTACCCCAGRGGTGGTGGTTTGGAGCTGTGGAGGCACCCTGGGGACCTGCCTGGGGGTCACAGCCCTCTGGGACATGCTGCATCCCTTTGCTTTGTCATTTCCAGCTTGTTGGGGGTTGTGGTTTGGTTTATTTTTTTTTTTTTTAATTTCTTTCCACTCACTTTGTACTTTTTTTCTTTTATTAAATCTCACATGTATTTTGAGTTTTTGTGGTGTCATTTATTCAGTGGTGCATTTTCTGTGCAATCTAGTCATTATCTGTATTATCTGTCAAAATAATGGTGTCATGATTGCAAGCTTACCAGTCTTATGACTATTGGGAACATTCAAAAATACAATTAGCTAATTAATTAACAACTAGCTAATCACAGAGTATGTTGAAATGTACCTCATATGTAATCTGGGGAGAAATTGTGATATTAATGCAAAAGCCATCCCTGTTTGGGTAGAAGGAGCTTTGGGGCTTCTTTGTGGGATCTGAGCAGGGGGATGTGCCAGCAGCTTTGCTGATGTGATGGTACCCAAAAAGGTGATTTAAGGTTAGGATGAGAAGGCAGCAGAGGTGGAGGCTTTGCTGGTTGTGCATCCAAAGCTGTGTGCCTCTGTTCTCAGGCTGTGTTCTCTGGGCCATTGCTGCATACCAAGCAATATTCGCTCACCTTTGGGTCCTTCTGGGTTTTTTTTGGTGCTGGACTGAGATCAGTGCTGCGCTTCAGACACAGGAAGCGTGGAGTTTGGGTGGTGCACAGTGTCTGCTGAAGCAGTGCTTCTGGTGGGATGTTTTTCTGCTCAAAGAACAAAACCAGGCTGGTGATCCTGGCTGCCTCTGAGAGCTTTTTAAGAATAAGCAGCTGCAAATCTTCTAGACATAAGCTTTATTAGGAATTACCAGTTGATACCGAGTGGTTTGTATGAAATGTTTACATCRTTTTCCATCCCACAATGTTGTAAAGCCAAATCGAGGACACCACTGAGGAGCAAGTGCATTCTGGTACGTCAGAATTCAGGGAACCAAAGGTGGGGGAGTAGCTGGTCCTTCTAAGATGGGCCACCTGGTAATTCAGATGACATACTTTCCAGGGGTATCTGGGAAGTATCTGAAGTTATCAGAGGTATCTGAAGTGTTTTTCAGAGGAGCAGTGTTGAGAGCATTCATTAACATTTGTGCAAAGCTCCTAGAGATGCTTTGAGGAGCAGGAATGCCCAGGTTGGCTACAGAAGCAGCTCAGCACTGTGGTAGGTGCTGCCCACGCTTTGCAGTTCCAGAGCTGACAGCTGATGGCCAAGGCTCTGGGGCAGGGTGATGGCCAAGGCTCTGCTTTCCTTGAGGAGACAGCCCAAACCCAGCCCTGTCCTGGGCTGTTCATCAGGGGAACTGTGCAGCTGAGAGCCATGGAACAAGGCAAGGACTGTGCAAAGCCAYTGCTCCAGCTGTGTGTGCTGCCTGGCTGCTCCTGTGGGTCTCCATCACCTGGGATTTCTCCCGTTCCCTCATCACTCTTGCCCCAGTAAAATTTCAAACCAATCCTCTGACTTTTCCAAACAAGATGTTGGCAGCTCTGAGAGCTTCTCCAAGTTGCAATGGGTTAAACTCAAATGTCTGTACAATAGATTGGTGCTTTGACCTTTCATGCTGTCTTTACATAATGTAAATAACTGAAACTTAAACACTGATTCTCTTTTGTTCTTTCTGTAGCTTTTTTAGTCTTCCCAGTGCGTACTCCATAACAACAGGAAGATATGTTAATTAGAAGATTTATTAAGGCCAAAACATCTCATGCAGAAGAAATTAATTGGTGCTTGCACCTTTAAGCTTGCAATATATTGCACAGAAGAGAATATGTAGCAAGGACTAAAATGCACCAWGTCTTTTGATGGGGAGAAGTTTGCTTGATCAGGTTTCTTGGTAAAGTTAAATCCAAGATACCTGCCAGAAGGTAAACTGCTAATTCAGGCTGCTGCATGGCTGGCACTAAAACCAAAATGCTATTTTTGGGGCTCATACCCCAAAGGAGTTAACCCTGACTGACTCCAGAGAGATCAGAGACAAAGCTGGGATAGTGTGAGGAGCTTTCAGCTTTGCTGCAGTAACAGAGTCCTGCGGGTCCCCTGCTCAGTCTGGTTTTGGGGTGTAACTGGAGAACCTGACATCCCTAATCTGACATCCCTAATATTTCAGCTGGATTCTCACCYTTCAGAGCAATAACTCTTCTGTGCAGCTTTCTTCTGTATACTTACAGTTTTTATAACCAAACTGTCCCAACCTATATCTCTTTAGTTTTCTAAGGGCTGCTCATTTTGCCTCACACCGTAACCCCTTCCCCAGAGCTCCCTGCCCACCTCCCACCTGCTGCCTCAGGGCCAGTCTGGGCTCTGCTCATCCTGCTGGGATGTGATGGGTGAGAAGGGAACCGTTTTAAAGCACAACTAAATGTTATCTATTAATAGAGGGGAAATGGTTTAAAGCTGGAGGCTCAGTGTTCCTGGTGTGGGTTCTGTGTTTGTAACAGACTGACTTCCCCTTACACAAATACTTTTTTTTTTTTTTTTAAAGAAAGGAAAGGGGAAAAACAAAGTTTGAAGTCTGTGCCCCAGTAACTTCACACAGGAACAGGGAGAGGCCCCAGTTTATCTTTGTTTTAAACAACCTTGTAAATGAATCTCAGGAATGACCTGCTTGTACCAAAGTTGGGTTTAATAAAAACAAAACTGACTTGTTTAACAAACATCTGTTACAACCATGGTTTGTGCACCAGGTCTAACCACAACAATATCCTCTGTGATACAACTCTCTGTGATCCCAGTTTCCCCTTGTTAACCCCATTGCCTTGTGACTGAAGTGTGGTGTCCCCTGTGCACCCCTGTAAGCCGTGGCAGCTACTGCTCCCAGTCTCTTGCCTTTTTCCAGGCTGCTGCTTTCCCCACTGCCCTGGGGATGGCAGGGGAGGACTGGCCAAAAGCCAGTCCTTGGCAGGAGGTTTGAAGGGAATCTCACCCTGTGCCTCTACCGTGCTGGGTGGGGTGACCACAGTGGGACAAAGGCTGAGAGCAGAGAATGGGGGGGGTGTGACAGGGGCCCTGTAGGCTCCCACCGAGGACCTTGTGTCTCTGTAACCCCTCAAGAGCTTGCTGAGAAGGAGAGGCTGGTGTAGAGGTACTGGCTACCCCAGGCACCACTGGGTTCCTGTCCCCAGGGTGTGTGGTACCTGACAGCCTCTGAACCCACTGGATGCCCTTGGCATAAATTAGAACTGGGAAGTAGATTGCAGTTCTAGCAGGTATGTGGCCTGAAGAGGACCAGACTGGGCACATGGGGAAGCTGTGGAGACTCCTGCCACTTGCAGGCAGTGGGGATGAACCCCCATGCCAAACAYGTTCACCCCATGCTGTTCCCTGCTGCCACAGTGGGCAGGGATGAGGCACCGCGTGTGTCGGGCAGTGGGACCAGGGGAAAGCACCAGGGTCTGACACTGCTGTGTCATTGGGGGCATGAATTCAGAGCTGGAAGTCCACTTAGGAGGGCTCTGTCTGTCTTCACATGTGGTGTCCTGCACAGAAGGGGCAAGCTGAAGCTGTGTGTGACCACCAGGCTGAGCTCAGCCATGGCGCAGCCTTTGCYGCTGCTTTGATGATTGTTTCAAACTTGCTTGTGTTCTCTTGTGAGGCCAGCCACTCTAATTCCTTTGGCAAAGCTT